ATATATAACTTATATAGGATCTAAATACTTATACTTAAAAGAGTAATTATAACATATAATATATAGTTTAATAAGTTAAAGTTCTACTTAAAAAAGAATAAATATATAGTAATACTAGCTAAAATTATATATTATATTATTAAATAGGAACTAAAGCTTAAGTTATTCTTAAACTTAATACTTAAGCTTCTAAGTATATAGAAATAAGCTAATAATATAATAGAAAACACTCTTAAAGAGTAAGAAACCTTAGTTATATAGTTATAAGATATTATAATATATAAAGAGACCTAAAAGAAGCCTCTAAGAGGTCTTCCTACCCCTAAGTAAACTCTAGAACCTTAAGTTATAATTAGAAACTAGAGAGGGGAAGCTAATATGCTAAATATATCTAATAATAAATCTCATAAATAAGCTAAAGAGGTTAGAAATATTTTAGAGGGGGATAATAGTACTTATATTACTCCTAATAAAGGTTAGAGTAAAAATAGTAGACCTTAAGTTTAACTTAAAATACTAATACTAAACGTAAATAAAGAAGAAAAAATATTAATACCTCCTAAAAACCTTTCTAAGTTAAAAGATAGAATATATAAAGTTATAAACTAAGTATATAAAATAAAAAGCTCAAAAGAAGCTCTAAAGAGAGCTTATAATCAGAAGAATTACAGAAAGATAAGCTATTTAAGCTAATATAATTAATAGCCTTTAGAGCAATTTAAAGACTTTATTTTATTTATTAATAATATCTTAAGGACCTATTCTAATATAATTAATAAGAAAAATAAATTAGAATAGCTATTCTCTAAGATTAAATACTAAGAAAAAGTCCTCCCTATTAAAGACTAATATACCTAAGAGGCCTTCTTTATAACATTTATACTAAATATAAAGAAAGCAGCAGAAGAAAGTTCTTCTAAGCATATAACACTTCACTTATATATATAGAGTTATATTAGAAGTTAGAAATAGAAGCATAATAATAAGGATTTAGAGCGAGATATATATATATCTAAGCTCTAATTACCTCCCTAAAACTAGAAAAAACTTCTAATACTTCTAAAATATCTATATAAGCACTTTATAGAGGTAGTAAAACTTAAGATTAAGAAACTATAAGAAAAAGGGATATAGTAAGAAATTAACTAATAATCTATATAATTAAAACCCCTACCTCTAAAATAGGTATTTATATATAAGGTTAATATAAATAGCAATCTAAAGTATTTTAAGGCTAAAATCTATATATAAAGAGACCTCTAGAAAAAAAGTACCCTAGAAAACATATATATAGTAACTCTTATTATAAAAACCTTTTACGTTATAATAGCTTTAGTTACTTAGTTTAATCTTAAAGTATAATAATTTAATATAGATAACACTTTCCTAAATATAGAGAGGGATCTAAATAGACCTCTAATCTATTATTAACTCCTAGAGGGTTTTAAATATAAAGGAAGGTATATAAAGTTTAATAAAGCTTTATATAGCCTTAGAGATATACTACTCCTCTAGTATAAGTATTTCTTAATAACTCTAAAGAGGCTAAAACTTACCTTAAGCTTAGAAGAGGTATATCTCTTCTAAGATCCTAAATATTAGGTCTTAGTTTTATTCTATATAGATAATATACTTATTCTATACTACTAAGATCACTCCTCTAAAGTAAAATAAATTATTAATAGGCTAAAAGCTAAATATAAACTTAAGAACTAAGGTACTATTAAGTACTATCTTAAGATCTAAGTAGTTAAAGATTATATAGCCTAAAAGGTCTATTTAGTATATAACTTATATATTAAGAAGGTTACTAAGCATTTCAATCTTTAAGAAGGAATATATTTTATAACTCTATTACCCCTTAGGAAATTTAAGAAGAATAAAGAATAAGCTTCTCTTATATATATAAAGGAGTACTAAGAGAAAGTTAGTTCTATACTTTATTTAGTAATAATAGTACGCTTAGATATAGCCTTTATAGCTATATATCTCTTATAGTTTCTTATAAACCCTTTATTAGCCTATATAGTAGTAGTTAACTAAATAATCTAATACCTCTATATAATATATTTCCTCGCTCTTTACTTTAGAGATATAAGGGGTATATAAGCTCTCTAAATCGTAAATAACACCTTATTCACTAATAATAAAGAAATATAGAGATCAGCCTAAAGATATATTATATTCCTCTTTAGAGGCGTAATATATTAGAAAGCTATACGTTAAAACACTATTATAATATCTATAATAGAAGTAGAGCTTCTAAGCCTTAAGAATATTATAAAAGAAGTAATAGCACTTAAAAAACTCTTCTATAATATAGCGTTAAATATAAGAAAAGATATCTAAAAGATTAACTATAATAATTAATAGATAATCTAACTTATAGTTAGTAATAGAGAATATATCGTAATATATCTCTACTATATAGATATCTAAAATATATAGTTATAATAAGAGTTCTAAAAAAGGTAGTTTTAATATAGCCTATATACCTATAGACTTAATACCTACTAATAGTCTTATAAAAAACCTTTCTAAAGGTAAATTTAAACACTTTTATATATTATTAAACCTAGTAGATATATATATATTTATTATAAAGGATATAAAGTAAGAATAATAAGAAATAAAGTAGTATAGTAGCTAGAAAGTCTATATTTAGCCTTATAGCTAAGAAGCCTAATTTAGCTTATAAGAGCTTAAAAGTAAGTCTAAAAAGCTTAAAAGTAAATATTATCTTAAGCTAAAGCCCTAAATATATATAAAAACCCTTTAAACCTAATAATAAAACTTAGTTCTAATAAGTATAAGAGGTAGTAGTAAATATATCTAACTAGCTCTATTAATATTAGGCTAAAGTGGCTATAAGGAGTCTACTAGCTATAGTAAGGCTAGGGGGGACTCCCTATCTACTATTAAGTAGAGAGAAGATAGTAAGTATAACACTAAGGGTAATAAGCGTAATAAGAGGGGTAATAGGTATAATAGGTGTAGTAGAAGCTAGAAGAAGAGTAAGTATAAAGGTAGGGGTAATTAGGGGTATAAAGGTAGGTATAGTAGAAGTAGAGGTCTTAGTAATATTACTTTAGGTAAGGGTAAAAGTATACTAAATATTAGCTCTTTAGTAATTAAGATCCTATATTTAAAGTTAGTAAAAAATTAAAAAACGCTTCTAAAATATAAAAAACACCCTTAAAATTAAGAAATATTTCTAAAAAGGTATTATACTTATAGCTTAGCCTATAGAGTTAGACTTTATAACCTCCTAGAGGTAATAAGTAAAAAGCATTATAATAAGCACTAAAAGGATATAAGGATAGCTATAAGAAGTAGAAGCATATAAGATATACTAATTCTTCTTATAGCATTTTACACTAGAAGCGCTAATAGGAGTAGGTATAAGGTTATAATAATAACCTTAAATCTTACCTATAAGGGTAGACCTAAAATACTCTTTATAAAAGACCTTATAGCAAAAAGGTCCTTAAGGAGCTATTTCTAAATAATTAGTATAACACTTCTAATAACTAAAACACTCTAGATAGTATATATATAAGGTATTATACTTACCCTTATCCTTAACCTCCTTAATAATAAGATAGGGGGGATAGGGGGGGGGAGGTATAAGGGGGCTAGGGGGTATAGTAAGCTCCTTATTATTATTATTATTATTAGAGATAGGGGGGAGGCTACTAGTAGTAGTAGCAGCAGTATTAGTAGTAGCCTTCTCACGCTTATACACCTTATATATATAAGTAGTAGCTTTCTTCTTAGAGATAGATATTATAAATTTTATTTATTAAACAGTTAGTAAGGGTTCTAATAATTATATTAAGTAATCTAACGATTATTTTAATAATATATAAGTATTATAGTAAGTAATTTAGGATTTTTAAAAACTTACCTTTATAAACTATAAGTAGTTTAAAAAAGAAAAATTTAATTATAAGAGGGTATAAGAGGTCTTATTTACTTCTACTACTTACACCTAATAGCTTATACTAACTATATTAAGAAATTTCATTAATTCTAAATATATTTATAACCTACCTTAATAACTAAGTAACCCTATTAAGCACTCTTATATTCTATAAATATAACTATAAACGCTAATTTTATTTATTTATTTACTTTATCACTTTAAAAGCTATTTTTATATATTTTATATAATAAATTTAGATAGGTTTTAGGTATATAGCAGTAAGGAATAGGTTTTTTAGCTATCTATAATATCTAAGGAGGTATATTATAATACCCTTAATCTAAGCTATAGCCTCACTGCCTATTATATAATATATAGTATTATATAAGTTACGCGTGTAGATATTAGCCTACGATATAGACTACCCTTCTGAATAGTTACTCCTATAATACACCTTTATTCCTGATGACCTACGCGCCCGTAACTCGCAAGAGCAGTTGAGTCTGCCTAAGATACCCACCCCCTTGCACACGCTGTCTTACAATCAGAGATGCGACATGGCTATAATGACCCATGGCCGCCATATACCAGTGTTAGCTCTTTTCTTGGCAGATGAGATGGCGTCACATATGCATACAGAGCGTCCTTGGCTAACAAGTCAACAGCGTTCGTATTGGTGAGCAGAGCGATTCCCCGCCCAGGACCCGCTTCGGTGAGCAGGTTCTCGATGAAACCGAGCTTTTGCGTAAATATTTCACCAATCATGTCGAACTGAGGCCGTGGCGGGGGAAAGGGGGGAAATTAAGGCAATTGTGAGGCGGACAGACAACGGTCCGATAAGCACGGTAGCAAGGCGGTGCTCGACCAAGGCACCCATTATGTAGGCGCAGCTCGTACATGGTGCATAAGAATACCGCCTCCGTCCGCGCCTGGTTTCATGCCCGGTTTCTCTTCGTCCCAGCCCTCGGCCTCGACATTTAGATACTCCTTCCTTTCCCATGCTCTCACTGTTCATCACTTATTGGAAATCGCCACTTCAAGAACGACCTTGTTCCCTCCAGAAGTTCAGATCAAGATGTCGTCGGGAGGGACAAAGAGGAAAGCAGTAAAACTTATGCGGCACGATTACAACGTCGCTTGGATTTGTCCAGTCTCTAACGTCGAGTTATCGCCCGCACGACTCCTCCTGGACACTAAACATCAAACGCCAGATTATGACTCCAATTACGACGACAATGTTTACAAATTCGGATCAATGGGAAAGCACAACGTGGTCTTGGCCAGTTTGCCTCTTGCAATGACTGGCAACGTTAATGCAGCACGACTGACAAGTTCCGTGTTCAGAACATTCCCCAACATCAAGATAGCATTGCTTGTGGGGATTGGTGGGGGTGTTCCTCTCAGTCAGCCTCAGTCCGATCCTCTCAAGGATATTCATCTAGGGGATGTTGTTGTCGGGTGGTCAACCGACAAGAGCAGGCTATCCACCATTAATTATGAGGCTGGCAGAACACACGTCGGCGGGGAATTTGAGATACTCGACCATTCCAATCGGCCTCAGTGGGGTTCTCTGAGTGCCATTAGTGCCCTCCAGAACGACCATGAATTACACGAAACCGAGTTCGATGTCTACCTCGATAAGCTTCGATCTTCGGACGAGAACCGCAAAAAATTCTCTCACCCAGGTCTTGAGCACGACAGATTATTCAAAGCTGATTTTAAGCACACTGGCGATTATGGGAACTGTACCAGGTGCCAACAGAGCACGACCGGTCTTGTGTCGCGTCCGGCGCGTACGTCAGAACACGCCAGAGAATTCGTCTTTCATTTTGGGAGAATAGCCACCGGCGGCTCCGTTATACAAGATGGCCAGCGACGAGATGAAATAAGCAGATTGTGTGGCGGAATACTATGCATCGAGATGGAAGTTGCGGGTGTCGATGCCAATAGCCCGTGTCTGGTGATTCGGGGGATCTCAGATTATGCAGACTCTCACAAAAATGATGTCTGGAAATCTTACGCAGCGGGGAATGCGGCTGTGTTTGCTCGACATCTGTTGGAGTTGATCCCACGTACCGTGAATTCGAAGGATGAACGCAGAGGTTAGTGAAACGCATGAATTAGTTGATTGCCATTACGGTGGTAGGCAATCTCTGACACGTTTTCCAAGTGTCTATGAATCAATTGCAAAATATTTACTCATTTCTTCCCTTCTAATAGATCCCATAATCCTGGATGTTTTATACAGGTTATTCAGAGACCATCCGCGGATCACAAAGAAAGATGTCGACTGCGATCATGGCTCTTGGCGAGACACCGCATTCAACGACTTGATACGCGACTCTCAAATAAGCGAATGGATGGCCGAAGGCACCCAGCAAGCTATTTGGTTCCAAGACATTTCTGGCGCAGGTCATTCTTTGTTATCCTCGAAGATCATTGACATCATTTCCTCGACTTCAATCCACGATTCGGACATGGCGTTTCTAGCATACGTTTTCTGTAGACGGACCGAAAACGAAGAGAATCGAACCACAGTTGTCGAAATACTCTCTGCGTTATCATACACCCTGCTGATGAATCCAAATTTCCCAGCCTCGGCATTTCACCGGACAGAACAAGACTACGGAGCCCAGATCGGAGATAGCGACAGTGACGATTCCAGGCTAGATAGTCTGGTCAAGCTCTTGGAGACCACCCTAGACACGTGCGTCTCAGAAGATGACCACAGGAAGGTCTTTTTGGTGGTGGACGGACTGTCCTTCGACCCTTCCCCTATGTCGTCCAGCCCTGACAAAGATGTTCTTCGCAAGTTCATTCAGTTGGTGCGGTTCACCTCTGCGAAGTCCGACAGACTACGATGGCTGATAAGCAGTCCAACAAATGATCCAGGGGCGAGGATTCCCGAATTGAAGAAATCCACCTTCGACTTGATCAAAATCAGCCCTTTGCAAGTCGTTTCCGCCTTGGGGTTGGATGGCGTCGTGCACGAGATAGAGACTACCGCACTGGAACTGCGACAGATAAAGGGGGTCCTATTTGCCAAGAACGATACTGATGAGTCGCTCGACAAATCTTTAGACTGGTTTCGCCACTGTAATGCTGGAAAATCTTGGCTTCGCTCGTCTTCTGAATCCCATCCAAGGAGTCGCATGATATGGTACCGCAGGAACTCAACATCAGCAATGACACCAAGCCGGCTTGGACTCGCCGTCTCTCAGTCTCAGTTAGAGGGCGTGCGTTCAGTAGGATGCTACTTCTCTTTCTCTTCAGTCTTTACTGGTGGTACCAAATCTTCAACTGCCACCGGCTATAAATTCCTTCACCCTTGCCAGGCGCTTTGGAGCATGTTTGCTCAATTAGCTACGCAAAACTGGGGGTCTCAGGAGCTTGACTTCAAGTCTAATATTGCTTCAATACTTCTTTCCTTTTCGCTGGAAGTCCAGTCAGGTTTGAGAGATCTCTGCTCCAATCTGAAGCCCGATGCCTTACAGACGACGGCATTGATCCCTTTTATGGCTCATTCGGAGGACTGGCATTGGCGGATTCGACTTTTGAATCAAAGTCACTTGGACATCATTGCCACTTCCATTCTTTCACTCCTTGACAACTATCCAGATAAGGACTCGGGTATTGTCTTTGTCATCGACTGTGTGGAGATTACACCGGCGAAGGATTGTTCTGCGTTTATGGAGATTCTTGAACGCATGACATCGCATGTGAAGATTATGTTATGTCTTGATACGAATCAGCATGATCATGCTGTTGCCTCTAGTGAATGGTGTCGGCACATGCCATCAATTTCCTTTGATGAGAACACCGAGTACCAAGGTTAGTGTTAGGGTAAAGGTCAAGGTTCTCGTGCGATGTCGCTGACCTTCTCCAGAGTGTCTTCAAAGCCTGCAATTTCCAAATATGCATCGCCGACGCGATCAGATCGAAACGGCTCTGCGAAAAACGAACAAATGGCTTTGGAATCACGATGACTACCGTAAATGGGAACAAGAAGGTGGTCTGCTCTGGATTTCTGGTAAGCCAGGAAGTGGAAAGTCAGTACTTGCCAAGTCAATCCAACATCGGTTCCGACACAAATCGAACACAGACTGGTCATTTTGCAGTTGGTTTTACACATCTCGCGATTTAGAAATCGGCGTACGACACTCGTTCATGTTGCGAGCGATCATGTATCAGATATTGTTCATGAACAAGGATGCGTTCCTCGCAATCAGGCCGCACTATCGAGACCAGCAAAGTCATTCTAGGGGCCAAATCGAATTATGGTCTCAAGCAGTCTTGCAAAAGGCTTTAGTCGGCTTATCCCGGGATACTTGTATGCGACCCACAATCATCGTCATTGATGGATTCGATGAATCAGATTCGGAGCCAAGTTGCAGAGCTGCGGTGTTGGACATGTTCCACGAGCTTTATCACAGACCGGGGCGAACACGCATCATACTTCTTAGCAGACATTTGCCGGAGATCGAGAAGCAGTCTCAAGGTTTCTTCAAGATTCTCATGGAAGGCTGCAATGAAAGGGACATAAACGATGTCATACGCCATGGTATCAATGAACTGAGTAGTGCTTGGGGCCGCAGACTCACTTCAACACAACCCCCGAAAACAAGCGCAATGGGAGAACCACAGACAGAAGTATCGGACCCGACCCTAAGGAAGATCGAATCTTACCTTCGAAACAACTCATCTGGAGTCATACTTTGGGTGCGACTAGTTTTCCGCGAGATTGAGACGGATTTTAAGCGACGAACAGGCTTCACAGAAGAGGAGCTTTGGCGAGCCATCGAGTCTTTGCCCTTGGAATTAGAAAGTCTTTATGCCCACTCGTTGAGACGACTCTCCAAATCCATGAGCCCTGAGGAAGAAGCTACTGCAAAGGAAATCTTTGCGTGGATTGTCGTATCTCCAAACATCGAAGCATTGCAACTACCGCAGCTAAGAGAGGCAATGGCACTGTCTAAATTTATTCCAGGAGAGGACTACTCAACAAAACTGTTGCAGGATAGGAAAACTTTGCTCATGCAGACACCCAACGGCGAGCTCGACTGGAATCACTTCAGGAATATCGTCTATGAACATTGCGGTCCTTTGGTTGAATTCGTACCACTGATATCTCAATCGCCTTACGAAGAAGACAGCCGTCTCGTTCAGTCATCATCCGATATTTCAAGTATGACAGCGCAGCTTATCCACCAGACTGTCGACGTCTTCCTCCGTGACCCCAGTCGAAGTGGTAGCTGGTTTATCGATCAACAAGAGGTTGAAAGAAAGATAGCCAACATATCACATGGTTACCTTGGTATTGGCAAGTCGTCACGACCTACGCCCAAGCGCTTAATGGCGGACCAATTGATCAACAGCCACATCCACGGTCACTTTGGTGCGCTCAAAAAGAACTTTTCCAATGTCATGAGCACTCCGTTCGAGCTACTAGCCATGGACGAGTACCAAAGACTGCGCCCGCTGGCATCTTTTGCTCTGGCTACCATAAGTCGACTCAATTCATATCAGCATTCTGTTGTTGAAGCACTGGAATTGATCGACAACAAGTTAAAGATCGAAGACCGTTTGGTCACTTATTGCATGCCAGATCTCTTGTTCACTCCTCCGGCCCTCGGAACAAGCCTCAAGCGTATCGTTCGTCATTGCTGTTCACATGGTCAAGCTGATAATCTGAAGAAAGTATTTGAACTCGTCGACAAGTACGAATTGAAGTACAAATCATCCCCAACAGACAAGAGAACCTTCGTCAAGGGGCGAGACCTGGAGATGATATCAGGTGCAATGGAAACTTTGGATGGTCTTCGACCTCAGTTCCAGATCTGCTTTCGAGACATTGCAGTAGACTTACGAGCATTATCTGCGAAACACTCAACACACATGGATACTTCGAGCAAAACCGCCAAGAACATCCAGCAAATTGCTGCCATCTCGGAACCTCACACTTGCGACAAACGATGTGCTTTATGGATCTATCGAGTAAACTATCCTGATGGTGAAGCAGTAGAGCATGCTACTAGCGAGAAAGTAAAGGAGTCTTTGAGGAGGATCGTGGAATGGCTCAAGGTACATCCTGTCTTCAAACCCTTTTCTCATGGGCAAGGGGGGGCCCGAAACCTCTTTGCCCAACGACCCGATCAAGCAACACAATTCTCACCGATAGCAATGAGTGCGAACGTAAACCCGACAAGCACTCGGACGCATTTTGTGAATCCTTAGGCAACGCATCAAAGATTGTTACAAAGAACATGAAATGGGTTTATGGCTATGCCGTTGTCTTCTTACAAACGTCTAGATGCCCAATTTATCTTTCGACCAAAAGGATATAGGATATATTTCTTAATTCTCTGTTGCTTAAAATAGAGTGGTAGTGACTTATGTTTGGTACAGAATAATTAAGATTCCCAATCGCAGCCGTCCACGTATAGCCTTCAATATGCTATCGGCTATCAAGTTCATATGGTCATACTAATAATCATCCGCAAGGGGCTCGTGAATGCTGCCATGGGGATTGTTCATAAATGAGATACGTTGAAATTGAATCCCTTTACTGGGAAAAGATCAATTGATATGGGCTTCGCGCCGCCTAGATCATTACAATGACGCAAAATGATAATTGCCTTAGTGACCTTTGAGACTGTGCCCAAAGTATGATGTTTTAATGTGTTTGAGCAACACCTAGGTGCAATATACGACGCTCATGTTGTGTTGAGTTATATTTCCTCTTAAAGCTTAGATTTCACATCTTCCTCTCTACCAACAAGATTTGGGTGAGCAACTCGCACAGGCCTGGTAACCGCGTAAAAGGCAAGGCCCTCGGACTTGGTGGAGAACTTAGGTTGATGAAGATATTAGACCCATATCCTATATGGAAGCTAAGTAAAACTTACCTGGACCTTCGATCCAACATGGAAGAAGGCAAAGTCGCCGGGGACAAGGTGGTGAGTAATTCCAGTAGCTTCGTCCTATTGGGAATGTATTCGTCAGTGCAAAAGTCCCATGATATGCTCATTGAGATGGACTTACCAAGATATCGATCTGACCACTGAGGACGTACTTGGTCTCCTCAAAAGTGTAGTGGGCGGGGCGGGAAGGGCCGGCGACAATCTTGTAGAAGCCCGACGTGAAGTGGGCGGGAGAGTCGGTGGTCTTTGTGCGGATCCTATTGGGATGTCAGACTTCGTCATGTGCGCTATTGGGTTGGAAGGAACATACGAGTGGAAGTCGGCAACGGTGGCGTTCTCGCCCTCGGGGAGGGGGATGAACTCGTGGCCAGCGCCCTTGATAATGGTAAGAGGAACGAGGCTCGACACTTTGACGACCGTTACAGTAAGCAAACATGTATACGACCTCGTGATATGGTTCTACTGTATAGACGTAGACACGGGATGCAAGGGGTCCTTACTCTTGATGAGTCTCTCAAAAACTTCCATAGAATTGATTAAACGCACGATAAACTTGCTTGATCACGATAAAGAATTACCTACTTATACCACGACTTATAGTCGTCGTCGGTTGCAGTTCCGAGAGACAACTCGGAGCATTCTCGGGGTGTTGGGGTTGCCGTTGATGATATCGGGAGCCGACCCGGCGGTGTCTCCATCCCGGTCGAGGTACGGGTAGATCATCCGCCGCCTATCTGATGTCGTGCGAGCCGGGGTAGTGGGGCCTCGCGGGCGGGGCAAGTCTGCTTTACCAATGACATTATTGTTGCACTGCAAGCTATCTAGTAAATACATCAGACTTGTTGCACCAGACTTTAGAATTCTCCCTTTCACCTGGAATGGTAACCGGGCGTTTGTTGGAGAGGGCGGGGACCATGATCGTAGCCATCTGATCTGAGTCCATCCGGTTGTCAGACGCTTGGCAGCGTTCACTAGCGTCCCGCCTAGTCTTGGCGATATTTGGACCTCAGCACCAAGTTAGACAACTTTCAATAATGACTTCAAGTGCGTGGAACTAATGTTCTTTTGGAATTTCGATATTCTGGTGGTTGGAAGCAACTTCTTGGTGTCCACAGACGAATACTCGCTATCTTCTGGATCAGCAGGTGGGCGATGCATGATAACTGCCGCTGCACCCTTGCATGCAGCTAGCTTCTCCAGATCCGAACGCCGAGAAACGCCGTGTCGGGCCCAGGCCCGCGTGGAGGGAACTGCGCCGAGCTTGCGACGGTTGACGGACCGAACCGGCCAGTGCCGAACTAGCGCGAGCCCGGACGGGTCGGGGCCGTGAGCTTTTACCCCGCCGTCTTCCGGCGAGCGCACTCACCGACAACCATAAGCAAAGCAGACAGGCAGTTGATGGTTTCACGCAGGCCCGACGCAGCGCATTGAGAAATGCGTCTCTCTAGCGGCTAGTCTAGTATTTAATACCATCCATGCGCCATCACTGCTTCCTTTCATCTACTACTGCTGCGCAGTCACGCAGTCACCAACTGACGATTCGCCTCGAGTTCACAATGGTCATCTTCCTCAACTTTGCCAATCATAATTAAATCACAGGGGGAGAGAAGGGTGTCTCTGGAGTCCATTGGGAGTTCTTCGAAGGAGCAACCGCCACAGGCTCTCGAGTTTCACTGTTGGCCAAAACCTGTCGATGCATACCGCCTTAGGCTCAAAAAACACCAGTGCTATGAAAGTGAACGAAGTGTTTTACCAGGCCTGTTGGGTCGCACTCAATACGAATGCTGCAGCACAGGGATCAATCACCCCCTGTTTCACCAGTTTTCTGCTTTATATATACACGGGGTCGTCTGAAGTGCGACGTTCTCGTATTTAGACATGCAAATAACTCTACTCAGTATGTCTATTGCAGAAGGTCTACATGCATGCAAAACAAAGTCATAACTAGAGCAGGAAATTCAACGTTCATCCTCACCTTGTGCATTGGTCCAAAACACAATTCTGCGGCTAAATCAGCTCCTCAGTCGTACATTTGAGGCTCGGTAGCATGACATAGCTATCTTCGCACACATCATGTGTTGCTCAGAGGAGGAAGGTCAAAGAGCTTTTACACTTTCATCTTGTGCATCACTTATCATTGGCATTTGATCGGCGTGATGTTTTCGGGTGTATAGTCTCTACCTCCGGTCATTGGCAGAATAGAGAAAATGGCATCCATGACCGAAACAAGATCAGGCCTCATGATGGTTGAACCAAACGACAGTGTGACCCAGACGAGATCATCATTGCGTACGCAGAAAGGGCAGGAGCGAGCCTAGCAGCCAGCGGAGATCTTGCATTCCTGCAGTGAGTCTCGGTGTAGGCAGTGTCGAAAAGCACATCTCCTCCTTCTTCCGCATGGAACAGATGGGTTGCAGTTGAACATCCAGCCCCGCCGAGTGAGACGGGTCGGCACCTTTGACGCGGCTTGGCGGTGGACGACTACGAATTATGCTGTGAGTTTTGTCGATCTGTTTGTTGGCCATGAGCTTGTATTGTGGTGGCAGTGAAGCATCAAGAGTGTGGTGTGGGACACAAAAGAGGTCCTCTCAGATTCGCATCTGTAAGCGGCCCTTCTGTTGCGGCATTTTCGCATGAGACCGCGGGAGAGACCAAGTAGGGATCATCAACTTTGAACTTTGGGTTAGGACCTGGGTAATCATCCCGACTTGGCAATGTCAATGTCAATGTCAACGGTTCGGACTTTCTCACACCTCGAAAAGGGGGCAGGTTGATTCCATCGCAAGTGCCACTTTTCAGACGATACGAAACAGGGCATTTCGTTATGGATAGGGGGCATGGGACAAACGATGGCGACCTTCGTGGCTGGCCATCCCCCATCCATATGAGAGCCAGGTTGGTAAGCGATGGCTTTCTGGAAGCCCCCGACAAACGGTGCGCGATTCGTTCTCAGAGTCTACAGACATCTCGCAGAGGGTAGTTTTGCTGTTTTGGATCGCGGTGGAGACGGCGGTGATGTCGTTGATTCGAGGGATATTATGGGACACACGTGTGGGCAGGGAGATCTGACGTTGTCGTTTGAGGCGCCATGGTGTTGGGCTGCTGGTCGACTGGGTCTCTGCCTTAACCCATGATGTATGGCTGCTTTGAGACACGAAAGTGGATGGGGGAGGTTTTCTGACAAACCTCGTGCATCCTTGATGTCCTCGAGTCGGGCCCCTGGCTCGACAGGGGTGATGCCGGCTTACCGCCAGTGAGGATGCGACCTGCGCTAGCCTGGTTTCCGCATGCTTCATGTTGCCCATTCTTTCTTCTTCTCTCGCTGTCTCGTCTCCGGATTTGCAGGGTGGGAAAATCATTGGATTCGGCAGTACAACCGAAAAAGCAGCGAAGGGGTGTTTCTCTGGGTAGGTTGGAAGATCGGCGTCGATCAACCTAGACGCGGGAAAATCTCCTAAATGCTGTGGAAGATCAGTACCTCACCAACAGCACCCAGACTGCTAAGCTTTTGCCATCTCCTTTGCACTGCCTATTGCAGCCTTACAGCCAGTTCTCGGCACGAAGCGATGTGTTCGTCGCCGCGTGCCTTGGCAAGTCAAGTGCCTTGGCGATTTACCGAGAGAACGACAACGGCAAAAACACCCGAGTTTGACAGCTCCCAGCGGCGTCATCTGGTCTGTGCAAAGTCTCATCACAGCCACAGTTCATTCGGCCAAACAGTTCAGACCTAGCAGCTATTCAGACGCGGGCGAGGGAAGAAAGGGGTGTGCGGTGAAGGGCATGCGACAAGGGGAGCGGGGGCCAGGGAGCCCGCGGACACAGCGAGTTCAGCGCGAAAGAGGCGAAAGGAAGAGGCATGCAGTGCACACACGCCAGACAGAGACACAGACAGCGAGCAGCAGGTTCGAGCATGACGGATGACAGGTGACAGGCGACAGATGACACGCGCGTGTCAGTGTCGTCCAATACCTCAGGCCGTCATGCGTTGCATCTCGTCTCCCCTCTCCTTCTGTCTCTGTCTCCCAGCGTCCTTCAGCTTCATCTCATCTCTGCGAAATGTGCCAGATCTGACGGCCAATTGAGCCGCAAGTTGTCTTCGAAGAAGCCCCGCTAAGGTGATGGTGCTCTTGGCAAGTGAAACAATATGCGTCCGGGGTGAGCAGCCCGCGCTCCCCGACTACAGTTTCCCATATCCCAACGTGGCCCAGCAGGCGTTTCAAGATCGTCCTTTTCGATGGTGGAGAACGGTAGCGAGAGCGGCAACAGACACCGCACCGAGCAATGACATTGCCGTCGGCAGACAGTTCCTCGGGGAAATTATTTCGTCAGAGCGCCGCGGTTCAGAAACCGAGGAGATCGAAGAAGGGGGTTTGTGGCTTTTTCGGCTGATGCAAGTTCGGCGTACGAGTTCGGCTTACAGGTTCGGCGCCAATTGAGCCCCCCCTCAGATGAAAATGAATGACAAGGTTCACGCGCGCGGGGTTGGGGTTGTCAGTAACAGACATTAACAACGCCAACAACATAATTAAAACTCCTTTTAACATTAAGGTAGGAAGAGCAAAAGACATGGGCTCAATTATGACAATTGACAATCTTAACATCATGCTTTCGACATTCCCTCGTTCTACATCGGAAAGAGCTGTGATTCGCTCGTTGGCACGTCAGGCTTCTTAGGACATGCAGATAAGGTGTGTTTGGCCTGCATGCGCTGCGTGTGTCCCTCAGCTGAAGGATCTGCGGTAAGGTAGGCCCCTTCAACGGCAGGTTTTGCCTGAGTCTCTTTAGCGCGCTGCCATCGCTCCGCCGTTGAATGCCACGGATGTCGCCCGAAAGAGAGCCTTGTCGATATTGGGATGGACCTACACACATGCTCACTCACATCAATCGCCTCTCCCCGCGCGCCCCTCCCCCCCCCACAACCACCCGCCGCAGGGCTAGCGACGTTGAAGATCTCGCGACGTTTCACGTGCCTCAGACATGATGGGGGTACCTGTCGCTTCGTCCCTGACCCTATTGGGGATAGGTCCAGTTTGAAGGGCTCGCCGAATTGTCTGAATCGAGGACGAAGGGCAACGGAAGGGTTCATGGGTCGGCATGTCTAGCCGCGGAGCTACGAGCTCTCGGGACGCGACTCTTGGCGTACAAACATTTCCCCCCAAGAGTAGAGACTGTAGACATCACTTTCTAAGCTCGAGTATAAAGATCTCGAGATCATCCGCCCTTCAGTTCATGTCCCTCTCTATTCTTCAGCAGTGTCTTCTTCTTTCTTCTCTTCTATTAACTTCTTATCTTCTATCTCGCCGATTGATTCGTGCGTCAGACTTTCCGTCGCTTCCAATTTCTCTCAAACCAGTCTAATCGCCATCCCGCCATCTTTAATTAACTCAAAATCCTTTTTTCAACGTCCAACGTTCAATCAATCAAAATGGTTTCCAAGACCCTCCTCTTCGCTCTCGCAG